AAGTCCTAAAATTTTTAAATTTTTTTGTACCGGTAGTAAATTCCTAGTCAAATCCTAAGCCAGTGGTTCGCAACCTTCCTAATGCCGTGACCCTTTAATACAGTTCCCATTGTTGTGGCCACCCACAACCACAAAATTATTTTCGGTGCTATGTCATAACAGTAGAGTATATGTGTTTTTTATGGTCTTAGGCCACCCATGGAAAAGGGTTGTGTAACCCCCAAAGGGGTCATGACCCACAGGTTGAGAACCACTGTCCTAAGCCTACTGGTAAAAGTAAATCATTTCTGGAAAGGAAAGAAACTTCTATAATCTTTTCTAGAGAGTAATGGCATCCAACTGGGATTTCTTGGGATGTTAAAGGAAAGAGCCAATGATACTATGTGACAGATTTATAACCATGATGACCAAGGCAATGGCTGAATATAATGACATAAGACTGCAGATTCAGTGACACAGGCCTGCAGATTCAGTGACACAGGCCTGCAGATTCAGTGACACAGGCCTGCAGATTCAGTGACACAGGCCTGCAGATTCAGTGACACAGGCCTGCAGATTCAATTTTTCCCAAGCTTTACTTCACAAAGATGAGGATTTCTTATCAAGATTTATCCCTTTCAAACAAAATATTTAAAAACTTGACTGACCGACACTTGACAAAAATATGGTGTAAAAATTGACACATAAACATGAATTTACCATATGTATAAATATATGTACAAATGTATACTATTATAAATAAAATGATGACTACTTTGAGCATAAACGGATCACGTACCAAAATTCTCTATTTGCTTGTAATAGGCTGCTTGTTTGTGTTGATTTGAAAGCATGTGACCTAGATTGTGACCTAGATTATGACCGTGGTCAAACTATTATAAAAAAAGGGACAGAATAAAATGATGAAATATTTTTGGTATTTTGTCTTGACCACATCAAGCGATGTGAGATGGTAGAAAAATGACTATGTGATGGTAGCAATATGAGCATGTGATGGTAGCAATATGAGCATGTGATGATGATGGTAAGATAAGAATGCAATGGTAACTATATGGGCAACTGATAGCTATACGAGCATGTGATGGTAGCAATATGACCATGTGATGGTAGCAATATGAGCATGTGATGGTAGCAATATGAGCATGTCATAGAGAAAAGATTTAAAATTTTCAAAAACTGTCCATATCAAAATAAAATTTAAATAACAAATAATTATAATACACATATACAAAAAGTTAACAAATGATGTAAAAACCAATAGAATTATGGAATATGTCAAATTTATCAAATTAGAATTTTTGGATTAAAAAAAAAATTAATCAGTTTTGAGCATCTTACAAAATAAAAGGGTTGTATATAATTTCTTTTATCTATAACAGGGGTCGGCAAAATTAAGCCCACGGGGCATAACTGGCCCATCACCACCTCCTTTGTATGGCACAGAGGAGTTTAGGAGAGATATGACATTATTTTAGTATTTCAAACATTTAAGTATGATTTTTAAAACATTTATATTTTCGTCTAAGCCCCCCCCTGCCAAATTTGCCCTATTTGCCCCCATCTCCTATGTTACAGCACTATTTGCCCCCATCTCCTATGTTACAGCCCTATTTGCCCCCATCTCCTATGTTACAGCACTATTTGCCCCCATCTCCTATGTTACAGCCCTATTTGCCCCCATCTCCTATGTTACAGCACTATTTGCCCCCATCTCCTATGTTACAGCCCTATTTGCCCCCATCACTCATGTAACAGCACTATTTGCCCCCATCTCCTATGTTACAGCCCTATTTGCCCCCATCACCCATGTAACAGCACTATTTGCCCTCATCCCCTATTTGACCTACAAATCAAACATCCACCTCATCACTGGTATTCCCTTTGTTGTAGAGGCATTAATTAAAACTAATGACATGATTTCTCACAACACAATGGCCACAGCTGACCTCTCCACTCCCTCCCCATTCTTAGTTATAATGTCTGTGTCAATCTGACAACTTGCTTCTAAGATTCTAAAACAGAGCAATTACCATTAATGATTGTGACGTAAGTAGGCAAACTGTAATATGACCTTCAATCCCTTCATTTCTTATATTAAGTTGTCAGTGTGATCCCCCCAAAGTAATTTATGTGTGATGAAGATGAAATGTACCCTACATTTTTTTTTTTGATTGCTCAATAAGTTAAGATATTTTTATTCATCCAAAGATATGGAAACTTGTTTTTTTTTCATTCATCCCTCACAATTTTTTTTCAGTCTTGAAAATCCTTGTTTGAGTTTTTTGTTGTTCCTTAAAATTAGGCTTTGGTCATTGGAACATAGGCTCACCCAATAACAATTTAGATACAACCCCATCCCAACAGACGCACCTAACTGAATTTAAACCCATCCTAACAGACACACCCAATTAAATTTAACCCCATCCCAACAGACGCACCTAACTGAATTTAAACCCATCCCAACAGACACACCTAATTAAAATTTAACCCCATCCTAACAGACACACTAACCCCATCCTAACAGATACACCTAATTAAATTTAAACCCATCCAAACAGACATACCTAATTAAAATTTTATCCCATCCCAACAGACACACCTAACTGAATTTAAACCCATCCTAACAGACATACCCAATTAAATTTAACCCCATCCTAACAGACGCACCTAACTGAATTTAAACCCATCCAAAAAGACACACCCAATTAAATTTAACCCCACCCAAACAGACACACCTAACTGAATTTAAACTCATCCCAACAGACACACCTAATTAAATTTAACCCCATCCCAACAGCACACCTAATAAGTTTAAATTAAGTTTCCCTTGTTGCCTGCAATGGCTAACATATTAAATAATTAGCCATATACAAGAACCAGTTGGCCGACCCCTTAACTAAAGTATCAAAGAAAATTATGGATTTCTTCTTGTTAAAAAAATTGAATTGAAATAATGGGTTGTAAATGTACCCTTTTACAAAAATATAAATATACTCACAGCATTATCGCAAAATAATCAGTCCCGTCTTTTTTTATCAAATGTCAAGAAATAAAGTCCCACCATTTTCGTCAAATACTACAGGCCCACCATTTTAGTCAAATGTCAAATACTACAGTCCCACCATTTTAGTCAAATGTCAAATACTACAGGCCTACCATTTTAGTCAAATGTCAAATACTATAGTCCCACCATTTTAGTCAAATGTCAAATACTACAGTCCTACCATTTTAGTCAAATGTCAAATACTATAGTCCCACCATTTTGGTCAAATGTCAAATACTACAGGCCTACCATTTTAGTCAAATGTCAAATACTACAGGCCTAACATTTTAGTCAAATGTCAAATACTACAGGCCTACCATTTTAGTCAAATGTCAAATACTACAGTCCCAACATTTTAGTCAAATACTACAGTGTCACCATTTTAGTAAAATGTCAAATACTACAGTCCCACCATTGTAGTCAAATACTACAGGCCTTCCATTTTAGTCAAATACTACATTCACACCATTTTAGTCAAATGTCAAATACTACAGTCCCACCATTTTAGTCAAATGTCAAATACTACAGGCCTTCCATTTTAGTCAAATGTCAAATACTACATTCACACCATTTTAGTCAAATGTCAAATACTATAGTCCCACCATTTTAGTCAAATACTACAGGCCCACCATTTTAGTCAAATGTCAAATACTACAGTCCCACCATTTTAGTCAAATGTCAAATACTACAGGCCTACCATTTTAGTCAAATGTCAAACACTATAGTCCCACCATTTTAGTCAAATGTCAAATACTACAGTCCCATCATTTTAGTCAAATACTACAGTGTCACCATTTTAGTCAAATGTCAAACACTATAGTCCCACCATTTTAGTCAAATGTCAAATACTACAGTCCCATCATTTTAGTCAAATACTACAGTGTCACCATTTTAGTCAAATGACAAACACTATAGTCCCACCATTTTAGTCAAATGTCAAATACTACAGTCCCACCATTTTAGTCAAATGTCAAATACTACAGGCCTACCATTTTAGTCAAATACTACAGGCCTACCATTTTAGTCAAATGTCAAATACTACAGGCCCACCATTTTAGTCTAATACTACAGTGTCACCATTTTAGTAAAATGTCAAATACTACAGTCCCACCATTGTAGTCAAATACTACATTCACACCATTTTAGTCAAATGTCAAATACTACAGTCCCACCATTTTAGTCAAATGTCAAATACTACATTCACACCATTTTAGTCAAATGTCAAATACTATAGTCCCACCATTTTAGTCAAATGTCAAATACTACATTCACACCATTTTAGTCAAATGTCAAATACTATAGTCCCACCATTTTAGTCAAATACTATAGTCCCACCATTTTAGTCAAATACTACAGTCCTACCATTTTAGTCTAATACTACAGTCCCACCATTTTAGTCAAATAATACAGTTGAAGCATTTTTTTAATAAACAGACAATAGCATTAAATTAAATATCTAATGCCCCGATGATTTCACACAATGAATAAAGCTGAATTTAATGAGACAGGTTGGTCTATTTACACAACTAAACATGGCGGTCGTCTATAAATAACTGGCAGGTTGATTGATCTATAAATCAAAAGTCTAGAATAAATTTTGATATGTTTCTTTGATTTAAATTGTAGAGAAATACTGGATTGTAAGAGAGCTTGTGGCAGGACCAGTCGTAAAATAACATTTGCCTTGTACAAAAATGGTAGAGACACTTCCACTGCATGCTACCACGTGTGTTGAATATAGGGACATTGAATAACAAATCTCTGAAATAACTGGTACAAAAAAATATATTATTATTTCTACATTTATAGCTTTTGAGTTTCAAAGTGAACTCCATTTTAAATTATTTGATTTGGGGGATGTGGTTTTGGATAGGTTGACACAGTATGAACTATTTTTTTAAAGTTTATGACTTGTAACATGGTGTCTCAGTTAATATTCTAGAGCTACCATTTCTATGGCCTAGACTTTTATCTCCAATAACACAAGATCAATGTCTGTCATGACTAGACTAAACACTATTCTAGGTGTAAAAATGTATTTAAAAAAAAACAAAAGCAGTCCAGAAGGTTATGTGTACCCCTGTACAACGTGGCATGATGGTTCTGAACTTGGCATGATGGTTCTGAACTTTTAATAATTCAAACCTGCTGTCAGTTACAGAACCATATTAAAGGCAAGAAGACCGTGTGTTGTAGCCTAGTAACTTGTCTATGCTGATATATCAACATCGCCTGGTTCAGCAAACAGACCTCGGACCTCCAACATGGTGGCAAGGTCAAGGACAAGTTTGTACAGCGCAGGGTGCTCTAAAATCTCATCGGTGGGCAGGGATGGGTGTGAGGCGGGGTAGTAGCTGGGACCCTGAGGGTGAAAAATATCAGGAAAATATTAGACAGCACGCTATTAAGTGATGGAAACACCAGCAATTAGAATCTAGACCAGGGTTACTCAACCTGGGGTGCAAGGAAAAGAAAAATTATAGGAAGAGAGGAGACCTTAGCTTTTTAGTTAACATATAAATGTTTATACTTTCTTTGGTTTAATTTCTTAATTTGCATTTTACTTCTTGTAAAAATTCACAAGTTGATTTTTTAAATATTTACAATTTTATTTTCTATATTTCAGAAGTTTATTTTCTAAGTTTTAGAATTCTCTTTGAAATCCAATAAAATAATTAGAAGTTCATTATTTTTTAAATGCATCGTCAATTTTGAAGGCAGGCGAGGCTTGGTAAAACAATTTGAAATGGGTGCAGGAGTATCCAAATAATTGGTAGGGTGATTTTGAGTATAGAAAAAGTTTGGAAACAGTGATCTAGAGAAACACAATAAGTGATAAGGACAGCTTACCATCTGTTATATTTGTTGACTAAGTATTCAGTCCAAATGTGACAAGGCAAGCTAGAAATCTACTATGATCAATATGTTTCCTTACCTTGAATCCTCTGTGAAGAATGAGAACGATGTAGCAGAAGACAAATCTGAGAAGTAGCAGCCGCAAAAAGTCATCACCTAAAAACTGGACGTAGGCGTGGTCTGGAATAGTGAGAAGTAGATTTCAAATGAGATTTTTGTTACACTTCCCATTGATGTTGACTTCAATTTTTTTTCAAAGCTCTACTCTCTGACCAAATACTTTCAACCATGGTCTGCTCTACACTCTGACATTCACTTTAAGCCATGGTCTGCTCTACTCTCTGATCAAACACTTTCAGCCATTGTCTATCAGTTTCATGTCAGTTGTTAGTTCTTTCTTAGATGAAACCTGTTGTAGATTGCATACAATTGTTTTTGGCAGCTCACCCAGTTTTCTAGCCCTACTGCAAATGTACATTAGGAAATGGCGTAAGCGAGCCGTCAAGCTTTAGTCGCAAGCTTTTTAAGCCAACCCCAAAGCAACCCCCTAATTCCAGACTATCCGGCCGCAAAGCAGCACGTTGGAGATTCCCTTTGCCAGGACAGTCCCTGCCAGCACCCACTCAGTCCGGGATAGATGGAGGCTACCTCAACCCAAGGACATCCATTCAGCTGGTGACGCTGCTTTCACAGCGTCAGGAGTCGACTTTCCTAGGAGTGGGGGCGGTATATTTACGTTCTAAAATCTTCTCCCGCCCATTCTGGGGAAGCGTCAGACAACCTCTAAAAGGGATTTATACAGTGGGTTCCAACTAATTTACGTGGCAGCTGTGATGAAACGGTTGCCTAGAAACAGCTTCCTCAATTGCTGTGTAAAAAGAATCATCAGCATGAGGTTGCCATACTGATAACTGACCCAGACTGAATAACAGAACCAGTTTCCTGGCCATACTGAATAGCTTACCCAGTTTCCTAGCCCGACTGAAGAGCTTCGAGGCATCAGCTACAAACTTGTCCACTTGAGCCTGGCACTTGTCCCACAGAGTGATTGGGATGTCCCCGATGTTACACACGCAACACATGGCCATCAGTGGGCAGTGGAGGAACAGTGTGAAGAGATTACCTTTCAACTGCTGGTCTGCACACAACAAACACACAAGGTATCACCACAAGAGAATCCAGCCATGGCATTGGCTAACAATTTAACATATTCATAGCCTCTCTCCTAAATACATGAGTATATAAATAGGATTCAAATTCAATAAATATGTTCCTATCCTTAAATATTTGTAAATCTAAAAAAAAAAAAAATTCATTAAAACTTTTGTAATGTGCACAAATTTAAATTTAATATTTTCTTTCTTGCTAATTAATTCATTGAGAGTAATTTTTAAATTTTTAAAAATGTTTAAATATTAGAAAAATTATTTAACATTTTTTGTCTGCACTGAACCAAGAAATGACAGGGACTAAATTAAAAATAAAATAAAATACCCTGCATTGTGACAGGAACTTGTTCAGGAGACAAAAGACAGACTAGAGGCTGGCCAAACATGTTGGGGAAATTCTGTGGAGAATCAAAACATTCACATATTTTGGAAAGATTTAAACCTAAAGAATACAGTTTGATGGTTTTAATTACTGCAACTCTTTCTAATTTAGCCTTCTATAGTTCTGTATTTAAAAATTGAACAACTGATTGATCGAATCATTTTTAAACTTAAACCTATCACAGCTAATTATGAAATAATAGATTAAACCATGGGTGGATTTAATCATGGCACACTTTGAAATGCTGGTTTAAACCACGGCTAACTTTCACATATTGGATTAAACCATGGCTAACTGTGAAATACTGGGTTAAACAACGGCTAACTTTGACATATTGGATTAAACCATGGCTAACTGTGAAATACTGGGTTAAACAACGGCTAACTGTGATACATTGGATTAAACCATGGCTAACTGTAAAATACTGGATTAAACAATGGCTAACTTTGACTTATTGGATTAAACCATGGCTAACTGTAAAATAATGGATTAAACAATGGCTAACTTTGACATATTGGATTAAACCATGGCTAACTGTGAAATGCTGGATTAAACCACGGCTAACTTTGACATATTGGATTTTAACCATGGCCAACTGTGAAATACTGGATTAAACAATGGCTAACTGTGACACATTGGATTAAACCATGGCTAACTGTAAAATACTGGATTAAACAATGGCTAACTTTGACATATTGGATTAAACCAAGCCTAACTGTAAAATACTGGATTAAACAATGGCTAACTTTGACATATTGGATTAAACCATGGCTAACTGAAATACTTTATTAAACAACGGCTAACTTTGACATATTGGATTAAACCATGGCTAACTGTGAAATACTGGATTAAACAACGGCTAACTTTGACATATTGGATTAAACCATGGTTAACTGAAATACTGGATTAAACAATGGCTAACTTTGACATATTGGATTAAACCATGGCTAACTGTGAAATACTGGATTAAACAACGGCTAACTTTGACATATTGGATTAAACCTACCTGAAAAGCTGAACTGTTACTGCTGTCAATGATAAGAAATAAAGGCTTCCTGGTGTAGGGATACAGGTCTCCTGGGTGGAGGCTAAGGAAACAAATACATGGCTCAAAGTACAACTACTTCAAACAAATATAAATAGTGGCTCAAAGAACTATTTCAAACACTTATAAATAATGGCTCAAATCACATCTATTTCCCCCCACACATAAATAATGGCTCACATATATTTTCAACACATATAAATAATAACCCAAATCACATCTATTTCAGCCACATATTTGTAGTGGTATTTATATTAACCTTTTAAAATTACACTAAGGCCTTAACCTTAGTTTCAATCCAGAAGTTTCATGCAAGGTACAAATAAATTTGGTAAAATTTTGGTGTAATAAACCAACAATTTATTACCACAATTTATGGCTTATTGGAAGCTTTGGTGCATAAGACGACCCATAAACTTTGAATGAAGGAATCACACAAAAAAACCACATTAGGAAATGGTTTCAGTGAGCTTTGGAGCTAGTACATAAGCTCTTTATGCCTTCCCCAAAGCACCCCCATTGCCCAACTGTTGGGCTGTGAAGCGGCACATTGGAGATCTCCCTTTGCCAGGACAGATCCCGCCAGCATCCACTCGATCCGGGACCGACGGAGGCCACTCCAGCACAAGGACATCCGGTTGGCCGGTGATACTATTCTCACACCGTCAGCTATGGACTTCCCCAGGAGTCGGGATGGTATATTTACATCCTAAATTCTTCCCCTGCAAATACTGGGGGAAGCATCAGGTGCCCTCTAGTCCAATAAGGATTTCTTCAGTGGATTTCCACAGTGGGTTTCTACAGAGGGTTTCTACAGAGGGTTTCTACAGAGGGTTTCTACAGTGGGTTTCTACAGTGGGTTTCTACAGAGGGTTTCTACAGTGGGTTTCTACAGAGGGTTTCTACAGTGGGTTTCTACAGTGAGTTTCTACAGTGGGTTTCTACAGTGGGTTTCTACAGAGGGTTTCTACCTTACAACTAATTCACGAAGCAGCTGGGACAAAACGGTTGCCTAGGAACAGCTTCCACAGTTGCTGTCTAAATAGAATCAATGGAATGAGGTTGCCATTACCAGACATTTTTACCTTCGTACTTCTAAAATCGTACAATATCATCTCAAAATCGTACAATACAGTATCTTAATAAATAAACATACAGTATATATAATTTATACAATAACTACTCGCATCGCGTGTCGTGTGGAATCAAGTCTGCACTACCCACCAAATGCCTCATATCCGTTAACAGCAACATGTAATCATGATCCCTACCCTGTTTCTGGCTTTTAGATCCAACTGCAGATTCTTCACAGTTGGTAGCCCTATAGATGCTACCATTTTCGGCAGATACCATGCATGTTCTTTGTCTTCCAATGCAGGTTCATGCAATTGTGCTTTTGTTCCCCGGGTAACACCAGGGGTTCAGCAAGCCACTACAGACTTGTTTACCAAAGCCCTGGGGGAACCTTATGCAGAATCACCCATTGAATACCATTACAGTTTCATCCAATGAATACCATCACAGTTTCATCCAATGAATACCATCACAGTTTCATCCAATGAATACCATCGCAGTTTCATACAATGAATACCATCACAGTTCGATACAATGAATACCATGCCATCACAGTTTCACCCAAAGAATACCATCAGTTTCATAAAATGAATACCATCACAGTTTCATCCAATGAATACCATCACAGTTTCATACACTGAATACCATCACAGTTTCATCCAATGAATACCATCACAGTTTCACCCAATGAATACCATCACAGTTTCATACAATGAATACCATCACAGTTTCATCCAATGATAACCATCATAGTTTCATCCAATGAATACCATCACAGTTTCATCCAATGAATACCATCAGTTTCATCCAGTGAATACCATCACAGTTTAATCCAATGAATACCATCATAGTTTCATCCAATGAATACCATCACAGTTTCATCCAATGAATACCATCACAGTTTCATCCAGTGAATACCATCACAGTTTCATCCAATGAATACCATCATAGTTTCATCCAATGAATACCATCACAGTTTCATACAATGAATACCATCACAGTTTCATACAATGAATACCATCACAGTTTCATACAATGATAACCATCATAGTTTCATCCAATGAATACCATCACAGTTTCATCCAATGAATACCATCACAGGTTCATCCAATGAATACCATCACAGTTTAATCCATTGAATACCATCATAGTTTCATCCAATGAATACCATCACAGTTTCATCCAATGAATACCATCACAGTTTCATCCAGTGAATACCATCACAGTTTAATCCAATGAATACCATCATAGTTTCATCCAATGAATACCATCACAGTTTCATCCAGTGAATACCATCACAGTTTAATCCAATGAATACCATCACAGTTTCATCCAATGAATACCATCATAGTTTCATCCAATGAATACCATCACAGTTTCATCCAATGAATAACAAATTTTAGCATGAAAATCCTGACAAATTCAGATTGGTGCACTAATATTACAGTAATCTAAAATGTATTTTTTTTTTTTTTAAGTTCCATTAAACCTTTTTAATTGAAATTTGAAACACTCGACTTGCTTTAGTCAAACTGTAACTCCCATCACTTATCTTTGGTCGATAGGACTAAGGATAGTTTTGAAGAAATTTTATTGGGAAAAAAAGCAACATTTAACCCACAAAATATAGTGAGTTCTTTGAAAATGTGCATTCACCAAATCTTGATTAGTTAAGTCCTGACAAGGTTATTTTTAACAATGCAGAAAGAGATGTAGAATCTTTAAACACTACCCCTAAAAATCTGTGTGTAAAAAAAGTGAGAATCCGCCAAGATAAGAAAACTAACATTGTTATAGGAGTAGGAGTTCAAAATTAAGAGTTGGTCATTATAGGTTTAATAAATAAATTGATCAATCAAAGAATTTCAGGGTGAAAACTAACCAGTGCATTTCCTTGTAGAGCTCCGCCTTCTTTCCCTTAGTTTGCTCTTCTCCTTCACGTCTGCTGTTGGTGATGACGCCCCCTAGATCATATGCAGCTGCAAAAATAAAGTTTTGTAATAGCTGTAATAAGCGCGCAAAATAAAGTTCCCAGAAGTTAGCACCAATAGGGATTCTTGTAAAGCACGTTACTTGATTGCACTTTTGTGAAGTAACTTAAGTAGATGGGAAGTTCACACATTGCCCCCACCATTATTTGGCAGATTATTTCTAGTGTGGAAATATTCTTTTAATAACACTCCTTATGGGATATTGTTAATAATGCCCAAAGTAATATAACTATTTCCAAAACTCATTAACAAGATGACAATAATCATTCAAAAGCTACAATGAAACGAGAGAAAGTAAGCGCCCACTGCGATTGAGAATTCAAGTTTTACCATCATCTGTGTGTTTCTGGTTTCCAGGACAGCCGTCAGCTGATATGTACAACACCATGGCCCCGTTTGGTGGCAGCTCTTTAAAAGCTGAGGCCAGGAAGGTGTTCAACTGTCCATAGGTCGGCTTGTACAGCAGGTACTTGTGAGGATTGTCCCGCTTGTTGGTGCGGTCGCCATTCTCCTGGCACAAATCAGATAACACAGAATATAAGGCTTGCGGCACAACTTCAAAAAGTTATCACAACGATTAGAAACTGTTACTGTTAACATGTATAATCTAAAAGACCCCGGTCTATTTCAATAAGTCAAAAATGTATCAATTCGCAATAAGAAATTTTAATATCCTATTTTGACATTTTATAGTACGACAGAACTTGGTAGATTATTTCTAGCATATCGACACAGTATATTCCGTAGCCTAAACCACACGGCCTTGTTTCTAAGAATGACTGAAAAAAGGACTGTGCAGCACAAAGTCTACCCTAGCAATATCAATAGTAAAAAAAAATCTGGCCTACAAATGGAGTCCTGCCGGGGGCTGGAGAGTTGTCATAAATCTGGTTAGAAAGGTCATCTTGTGGCTCCCTCTCAAGCGTCTGTAACATTCTGAACATGTCGAGGGTCAGCTCACTGAACTTAACCTGAGGAGAGAGCAATGCAAACTTCACTCACTGCTTTCATGACACGTCATACAGATAGAAACAAACTAAGAGCTAGTTTTTCAAAAACAACTTTTTATGAAGGGACAAACACTTTTAGTGTGAGTCATTTGACATTTGCCTACAGTAATGACCCTACCTGTTCATGACAATTTCCCACAATGAGTACTTCTTGCAGAGTTAGATACACTGGGGTGCCTTTCTCCAAAGGTGTTGTATTGAGTGGCGTTAGTCTGTGAGACAATACTATAGACGAGGAGTCCACGTCCACCACATTGATTAAGTTGTCAGCCTAGTGGCCAGAACACAACAAAACAAAATATATTAGTTGACATACAGGTCTCACAAACCAAATTATTAGTTGACTTACAGGTCTCACAAACCAAAATATTAGTTGGCATACAGGTCTCACAAACCAAAATATTAGTTGACATACAGGTCTCACAAACCAAAATATTAGTTGACATACAGGTCTCGCAAACCAAAATATTAGTTGACATACAGGTCTCACAAACCAAAATATTTCTTGACATACAGTTCTCACAAACCAAAATATTAGTTGACATACAAGTCTCACAAACCTAAATATTAGTTGACATACAGGTCTCACAAACCAAAATATTTGTTGACATACAGGTCTCACAAACCAAAATATTTGTTGACATACAGTTCTCACAAACCAAAATATTTGTTGACATAAAGGTCTCACAAACCAAAATATTAGTTGACTTACAGGTCTCACAAATCAAAAACATTTTTTTTAAAATTTAGTAACGTAAGTTAGAAAACAATGTGAATTCTCCCTAAACGCAATAAACATTGTTATATACTTTAAAATCAATTTGCCTTCCTCTTTAATTGTCAACAATTTAAAAACTTAGTTCAAAATTATTCATACAGAGCAAATTTAATCTGCTGTATGAGTAATCTTTTTGTATGACATTCATTGTATTTCCACCAATACAGAATTATAAAGTATTTTTTCCCCCCATAGATTTGGCATTTCACAATGTTTATTTTTAGTTCTTTGTATGAAAAAAGTTTCTTCAGTATTCAAACAAGGCATTTATTTTCTTGTACAAAACATATTCTTTCATCAACTGAACTACAACCAGGTTACAGATATTATATCTTTAGTAACTTTAAGCCATTTATTTATTATAGCTACTTTAATTCATTTATTTACTAGAACAGAATCATTGCTTTTCATCGACTAAACTTGAACTAGGTTAAAAATATAACTATGTCCACTGCAAATAGGACCAACCTCAATGAATGCTTTAATTTCCCCTAAGACCAGATTCCACTCCATGTGATCTTCAGGTTCGTAAGTACCAGTGTAGTCATCTATTTGCTTGGCCAACTCCTACAGAGAGAGTCATGCAATTACCTTTTTTTTTTTTTACATAACTACAAAATTTTTTATTTTAAATTACAAAAAAAATGCTCTAGTTTACACTACTACAAACTGTTCTTTTTAGAAGAGAATGCAAAAATTAATTATTTAATAATTTTTTTGAAATTGGTAAAATGTTGCAATCTTCAGTAATCTAGAGAAAAAATAATAATCATCATTTTTCTTCCTCTTCCAAAATACTTGATGCATCAACCATGCATCTATTCCTCATCAAAAATGGTTCCACATACCCTTACTAAATCCCTGACTAGTTTCATTTTCTTTAACAGCAGACAGACAACAATGAACCTGGCATAGTATCTCAACTTCTTCACCATCAGATCAGGTCTGTGACAGAAAAATAAATCATGATCATGAGTAAGCATCATGTCATACAAGATTACCCAATAAACCATGATATGGGTTTCTGAGTAAGTACCATGTTATACAAGATTACCCCATAAATCATGATCATGGGTTTCTGAATAAGTATCATTCATTACACAATAAATTAACAGTTTTAAAAAAATGTGTCAAATAGTATGTAAAAAAACTTAATTATAATTTCATTTGATAGGTAGGCAAAAATGCTCAAAAGCTTATTGGTGCAAACCTAATTTCTTTGACCAACCTCTCTTCCTTGCTTGCCTTTGAGTAATAAGCCCTCATCCGTATGGCAGAGTAGAATGAGAAAGACTCATTTAAGTAGTTTGTTTCACTGGTTCTCAAACTATAAAAAAGGAAGGGGTGAAACAAACTGAAACTTAAAAGACACTTTTAGTGTTTACTTTGTTTCTAGACAAATACAGCAATGATGATATTCAACTTTAGCTAGAATAACCCAATTATGAATGTTAGTATAACTCATCTGAAGCAAGGTTGAACATTTCATCAATAATAACTGATCACCCCAAGTTTTCAGATCAGACAAAATTTGTAATAATTAAATTATTTAAATAAAAAATAGTAATACAAGTCACTGGTGATCAGCTCTGCAGGGATTTTGTTTTGGGGACCAAAAATCTCATCAAAAGAGAACGAAATTATTTTATAATTGTAATAAATTTATTTGATAGTTTGGAACTCAACAGTATGATAGATTGCATAATATTTTCCTTGTAATTTAATTCTTATTTTACATTAAAATATAGGGGGGTCCCTAAATATTTTTATCTACATTTTAAAAACTCAAATGCATGTGTGGTGGTGCTATGTATTCAAGTAAAATGAAATGCCCAGTAGTTGCTCTCAAATATGAGTGGTGGTGCTATGTGTTCAAGTAAAATGAAATGTCCAGTAGTTTCTCTCAAATGTATGTGTGGTGGTGCTGTGTATTCAAGTAAAATGAAATGTCCAGTAGTTTCTCTCAAATGTATGTGTGGTGGTGCTGTGTATTCAAGTAAAATGAAATGTCCAGAAGTTGCTCTCAAATGTATGTGTGGTGGTGCAATTTATTTAAGTAACATGAAATGCCTAAGTTATCTTAAAAAAGCTAAAGTGAACTACTTGCTTAAATTTTTTGTTTCACATTTTTTTATATCAAATGTTTGATCTGATATTTTAAGAATGAACCAACATCCTTATTCCAGTTACCAAACTAAAAAGACATGATAAATGAGAGACTCCTGAAACAGGAAAGCAAACACCTTCAAAATAGACTTTTAGAACATCATTTCCTATTGCTTATTTGTATTCTAAAGAAGGCTTTAGAGTAAGGAAATAAATATTTTATGAATGCTTTTTTTACTTCACCAATCTCTGTCACAGTAAACATGAGACATGCAATAATACTAAGGCTTTATAAACTCCAAACATCACTTCATTGACACCCCTGTATATCAGCTTGTCTGTAATGAAATAGAGGCCCTTCAAGACATAAACTGCTGGATCACATTGTTAGCAAGTACCATTCTTTACTTACTAATAATGGTAGTATAGTTGGCCAATCTTGGAAGCTATCTCTCCTATTTGCCATCTCTTCAATCCATATTTCGAATCCAAAATTGCTCTGTCAAGGTAAAAATATCAAATATTAAAGAAATACAAAAAGAACGCTAACAAAGGTAAAGAGGTACACAAAATACATCAACAATTATATATTTAACTTGTCTAGTAAAACTGAAGCTAACACATATAAATAACCATTTTTTTCATTAAACTTCCAAACCAAAACATATAAGATTTATTCAATAAATTAAATTTAAACCTAAAACCTCATATTGTTAAATTGTTGAAATGCCGTGTAAAATTTAATTGTCAATGTCCACAAAAATTTTGATTGTGAGATGAGCAATTTGAACCTGTGTTGTTGTTGAAACTTCCATAGTTTTGTGTAGACATCAAATGTACGACCAAAGTAGGACTGCCATTGTTTGTGGCCATACTGAGGCAGATCCCTGAAAATGTAAGGTATGATGCACTATAAAATCTACCACTTAAAAGAAAACTTTTTTTTTTTTTTTTTTTTAAATTTAATGATGAAGCTTTTTCATTTTTAAAGGAGAAAGTTTATAAATCTCAAGTTATTTAACCCAGTCTTGCCAGACCTACTTTTAATGCAAACACTCTCATATGCCAAGACAAAGGGCTGAAAGTCCCTATAGAAATGTTTGTGTATTTTTTAAAAAAATAATAAAGTACATGAAAAGTCATTCTTTTATTAAAAAATGTAACTCCCTGCTGGCATTATAGCCCGCTGTAGCCCTCCCAAATCCCCAAATGCCTGCCCATTATGTCAGTCAGAAGCATGTCAGGTGGAATGTCAGATATAATGCTCGTTCAGAGTGTCTAGCAACTAAACCACCATACATTAGTCTGATAAAATTATATGCTGCTCTCACAAGAATAAAGCCTTTCTTTAAACTAAAGAATTATGTTTGTTTTTATCTCCTTTCGTGAAAATTTTATGAGAGTTCAAAGTTCTTCCTTCATGGCTTTCCAAGCTGTTGGGCACTATTTACCAGGCAAACAAGTTTCGATGATGAAACAATCAAACAGATCGATGTAATTTTTATTGAAATAATGAAGAAAGTGATATTGATGATCTTATGGCCCCGGACACGCAAAATGGCCCCGGACACGCAGAGCAGCCATTCGCACCCAGGTCCCATTAGTAGACCAATGCTATTTGCTATTCCAATGTCATTTGTGGTAGTTTATTTCAGTTAAACTGAAGAAGTAAGTTTACAAACATATAGTCCATTCAATTATCTTTCATTTGATACCTCATTTTGTCTTACAAACCCAACAATAATATTTTAAATAGTTTTTTAATCTCAACCTCTCACCTCTGGTATCCAGGTGCGGAATGCTCAGCCTAATATTAATGGAAAATAATATAATAACTAGCCTATATAAATATTCATACTATACATTATACTTTAATTAATACTGAAAAAAATTACATAGTAAAATATACGGTCCAAATATACCTCAGGCCATTGAAGAGTTGTTTAGATTTTTCGAGATGGTGACAGAATTCGTTAACAATTTTCTTTTCATTTTCGTCTAAATTCTGCACCTCCGTCGCCATGTTTGTTTTAGTTACACAGACACAATACTCTCTAAAGTGTAAATAATATTATTTAACAATCAATTTCAATAAACTCTCATTTTATCAATTAATGCTGATTATTTAACGCTAGAAATTAATCAAATTGAATATAATAGAGCTAAAATCAAGTCAATGCAAACGTCATTATATTATAAATGAATTTTAGAAGTACAGATTTATTCTTCAAAAAGGTTCAAAGAAAGGGAAATAATCTATAAATAACAAAAGCTATTTATACACAATCGTACATTTTTAAAGAACAATTAATGGACCATAGATTATCAATTTAAATGAAATGTTTAGGTAATTTTTTAATGTGTGACCTACTAATATGTTGTACACATTACTCTTGTGAACGAATAAATATGTGACAAAATTCCTTTTCATCAAATGAGAAGCTCAAAAAATCCCTTTGAATCTGGGGAGCAGAGTGAGTAGAGTATAGTGTATTTTATAATTGTAGCCCATTCAGCCCATTCTATTAACTTTTTTGCAACGATAATTGAATAGGAAAATCGAAGACGCGTATTTATTTTCCAAGAAAGGGGGGGGGGTCCTTTGTAAGAATTAGTATATTAATCATTATTATGTCTTATGTCAATGTGCCAACATTATCAATTCGGGGCCTCTTTACCTTGGTTAACTGACAGAAACAACCAGCCGGACTTAAATTATCAGAGCTTGAAACCAAATTGTAGATTTATTATTTTATTTAAATCAAACGTATCCATATTCTACCTACCAGTTGAAAGTATTTTAAAAACTCCTACTGCATCAAAAGTTTATACCGGTATATTTAATGAAATATTTTGTTGTTTTTTATGTTGTAGATTTTGATTTTGTCACGCTTTTTTTACTTTTAGGAATGCGGACGTTTTGGGGAAATAATCGAGGAATTTATTTTAATTACCATTTGAAAAAAGTTTAAGAAAATTAGGGCCGTGGCCAACCAAAAGCTGTGCCCGTGACAGAGAGCCAAAATATATATTAATACACATATTTTGCATGAAAATGATGAAGATGGTGTCCCCACCCACTTTTCACTCGGCCACAGGACTTTGCTTTTTTTTTTTTACCAAGAGAGGAAATTCATAATAGTTAATGTCGTGGTATTATTTAGTCAGACTTTTGGTTCATTATGCACGTCGTGCATATAGTTTGTTGTTATACATCATTTTGTTTTCACCGGAAATGCGTCACTGCCGCCAAACGGTATGGTCAATATGACTGTTGTAGTCAACATAGTGGGTTGAAGTGTATACTGTATAGTGTTTATTAACTGATACATGCGCACGCTGTTTCCTTATCAGAACTTAGTGCAATATTTGGATTTAAAAAGGAGGAAAAGATGGGTTCAAGCATGTAAAAATCCAAAAGTTTGATAACACTGTGAAGTGGAGCAATTTTTTAAAAGTATGTTAAGTTCCTTTCGGGGAATTGCAAGTGCAAGGAACATAACCATGACAAATACATTTATAGCTAGTGCAAAAAATAATATCGTGGGTGGAAGCGGAAAAATACAGAATTTAGGGAAAATGGCCTTTTCAAGTTTGACAAACCCTGGATATGAGGTAATTAAGTCAAGTGGGTTAAACTAGTCTAATAATCTAAAATAAATCTTCTAAATAAGTTTGAAGCTAACTAATTAATTAGGCCTACCATAATTTAATTTGGGCCTTGTATTCATTTATAATTCGAAGTGATTATTCACAGAGCTGTGCGAATAACGTTAGCCGTTATTCACAGATTTCGGTCTGCCGATAACGCTCGACATTATTCGCAGAATGTGATAAATTAAATTATGAATATAAAATACAAAGTTCGTAAGTAAACATCTCCTCGGTAGTGTAGTGGTCAGTATCTCCGCCCGTCACCCGGCAGACATAGGTTCGATTCCCCGTCGGGGAAGCCTCATTTTTATAAATAAAATTTAAAAAAAAAATATTTAATGGTTATTTCGTAGTGTTATATTATAATAACATTCTTCATATGGCTCTCTTATTATGTTCACATAGTTTTATTATTATTTCCATATAGTTTTGTTACAAGTTTCAATCTATTTTGTTAGAATGTTCATTCAAGTTTCGTCAAAAAACTGTAAACAACATGGACATGCAGATGAGCCGCATAAACCATGTTTAAGTCAGATACAGCTGTACTAACTGTACATTGTGATATACTTTTAGCTCTTTTGACTGTTTAATTTTCTTTGTATAATTCCACTCATAGACTTTGACATCCATTTGTTTTTTCTCTAATAAACAAATACTTATTAATAACTTACTTATTCAAATATTTTAGATCTCAGAGTTGTGTATTAATGTTTAGCTGAAAAAATATGTCACGTTTTATTCGTTTCATTTTATTTTCTAATAAGTATCATAATAAGTAGGGACACAATATGCCGCTCCGGAAATAGTTGAAATAACATTTAGTGATGACAATGAAATGAACATACCGGTACCGTACTTAAAACATATCAAAATCATTGACATCAACAATTTTAGCTCTTGTAAAAAAAATGTTGATAATTGAAACAAAAAGCCATACTGCCACTGTTGTAACTATGGGTATAAATATAAAAAAAAGCATACAATAATTAATTGGAACCCTGCTGGTCATAGGATGCATTGCAAGTCTTTGGGAAGTAAAGTTCCCTTGGGGCAATTGAAGCAGCGTTTACAAGTGTGAGTGTATTGCCAGCGCAATAACCAGCCAGCTTTACTTTTCCCCAGCTAAGGCCAGAGCTGGGTAGACTTAGGGACACCCTCAAGGATCAGGAAAAAATACTAGCCTTAAACAGGATTAGATTCTGTTATTATCGATGTAGGGCATATATGCCCCTCCCCGTCTCTCAGATGGCCGCCTGATGGAGACACCTCTCTGCATCATAACACTGTTGCACGGCATGTCAACTATTTCTGTCAGAACATTTCTGGACTACGTGATATATCATAGTGCTTTAAAAAAAACTAAACAATATCCTTGACATCATTTAAAGACATCTCTACAGTGGGTGAAAGTGAGTCTACATGAAGAATACCGGTACCATTTTTATTACTGGTATAACATTAAATATGAAATACCAGAAAATTAGCGAAATACCAGAAAATTAGCTATGTCTAGGAGTAGGAGGTTTGACTGGATCTATTTGTAACACTCTATAGGTCAAATATGTTGGCCCCTAACAGAGCAGATGTAGGCACAATTAATTGTCCTATATCCAATATATAGGCTATAGTTAGGCCTATTAAATTTTTTTAAATTTAACTTGTGCATACCGGTAGCTTCGGTTTTGAGATGTGTTTGTGCCATTCTCATTAACGATCGATCTATCCTACACTACTTAAAACTTCACCCCTACCCCGGCTTGGAATGTGATCTGAATTATTTCTAGAAATGTGCGTAATTATGGGAACATTTCTGTCTAACAATAACGCTCTGCATTATTCGCAGATTTTGGTCTGCCGATAACGCTCGGCGTTATTCGCAGATCTCGGTCTGCCGATAACGCTCAACGTTATTCACAGAGCTGTGTGGATAACGCTTCCCTT